CCTCTGCATATGGTTAGCCAGTTATCTCAGCACCATTTATTGAATAGGAAATCTTTTCCCCATTGCTTGTTTTTGTCAAGTTTGTTGAAGGTCAGATGGCTGTAGGTGTGTGACCTTTTTCCTGGGTTCTGTGTTCTGTTCCATTGGTCTATGTGTCTGTTTTTGTACCAGTATCATGCTGTTTTGGTTACTGTAACCCTGTATTATAGTTTGAAGCCAGCTAGCCTGATGCCTCCAGCTTAGTTCGTTTTGCTTAGGATTGCTCTGGCTATTCAAGCTCTTTTATGGTTCCATATAAATTTTAAAACAGTTTTTTCTAGTTCTGTGAAGAATGTCAATAACAGTTTAATGGAAAAATCATTGAATCTATAAATTGCTTTGAGCAGTATGGCCATTTTAACAATATTGCTTTTTCATATCCATGATCATAAATGTTTTTCCATTTGTTTGTGTCATCTCTGATTTCTTTCAGCAGTGATTTGTAGTTCTCCTTGGAGAGATCTTTCACCTCCTTAGTTAGCTGTATTCCTAGGTAGTTTATTCTTTTTTGGCAGTTGTGAATGGGAGGTCTTTCATGATTTGCCTCTCAGCTTGACTATTGTTGGTGTGTTGGAATGCTAGTGATTTTTCCACATTGATTTTGTATTCTGAGACTTTGCTGAAGTTGTTTATTAGCTTAAGAAACTTTTGGCTGAGACTATGCTGTTTCTACGTATAGGATCATGTCATCTGCAAACAAGATAATTTGACTTCCTGTGTTTCTATTTTGGTGCCCTTTATTTCTTTCTCTTGACCGATTGCCCTGGCCAGAATTTCTAATACTATATTGAATAGGAGTGGTCAGAAAGGACATCCTTGCCTTGTCTTGTGCCAGTATTCAAAGGGAATGCTTCCAGCTTTTGCCCATTCAGTATGATATTGACTGTGGGTTTGTCATAGATGGCTCTTACTATTTTGAGGTATACTCCTTCAATACCTAATTTATTGAGCATCTTTAACATGAATGGATTTCAAATTTTATTGAAAGTCTTTTCTACATCTATTGAAATAATTATATGGTTTTTGTCTTTAGTTCTGTTTATATGACAAATCATATTTATTGATTTGCATATGTTAAACCAACCTTGCATCCCAGGGATAAAGCCTAGTTGATTGTGGGAGGTAAGCTTTCAGATGTCCTGCTGGATTCAGTTTGCCAGTATTTTGTTGAGGATTTTTGCATCGATGTTCATCAAGGATACTGGCCCGAGGTTTCTTTTTCTGTTATATCTCTGCCGTGTTTTGGTATCTGGGTGATGTCAGGGTTTCCGGAATTCTTAGAGTGGTTCTTTCTCTTCTGTGTGACCTGGTGTTTGGTCTCTGAAGTTGCTGTTTTTTGTATGGGTTTTTTTGCTTTTATATTTTTTTAATTTCCTTGAGGGTTTATTTGTGGTATAAGTTGGATTTCTCTCATTGGCTTCCTTTCTGGGTACTTTGAGGTGGCCAAGGTTCAGCTCACCCATCCTGGGCTGCGTGCTGTAACCCTAGGTGGCTAAGACCAGGCCTGCTGCTTTTTTCTGCTTTATTGAGGTCAAGTACTTGCTGTGCTGGAGAAGGTGAGGTGTTCCTGTTCTAATGACAACAGTTCTTCAACAGGGGCTGCCAGCAAAAGTGCTGTAATTGGGCATGGGAGGCACAGAGTGGGTGCTGTGGTAGTTGGAGCACAGGCACGTATACACCAGTAGGGCAGTGGTGGGCTCTATGGGTGACCGCAGCAATGGGATGGCTGAGGGAGGGCCTCCCGGTGTGTCAGTGGGGTTGTGGTTGGTCTGTGTGTGTACGGGTGCTGATGTGGTGGTGGTGGATTCTTATGCACGTGGTCCCTGGCAGCATGGCTTGGGAGGCTGTGGCTTAGTGTGCACCATTGGGGGAAGGCTGCAAGTGGATGCTCACTGGTGGAGGTTTATCTTCAAAAACACTTTGGTGGGAAGGTGGAGACTGCTAGGCAATGATCTATGACAGTGAACTCTGGCAAGGATTTTGTCAGTGCAGCTCAGGCTGTGCTACAAGCAGGTGTGGCCAGAGGAGATATCAGCAGAGTGGGGGTTGTTTAGATCACACTGGCTGAATCTTGTGGGTAAGATAGCCTTGCACTCTCCAGGTCCAGCTGCTCACAAAGGGTAAAACCACCTAGAAGAGCATGGTGAGCCTTGGGGATGGGCTCCCTTGCAGCTCTTCCCGTGCCAAACTTTCTGAGCTCTTAGTATACTGGATTTCTGTCTCTAATAATTCTCCAGGCAATTCTTGCCATCTCAAATGTCCATGGGGTTCATAGGGGCTCCTGCAGCTAGCATTCCAGATGTCTGTGGCAAAGGTGAACCACTCTATGCCTATTTCACTCACTCGTTCTTTAGGAGCCGCTACTGGCCAGGAACAAGTTTTGGTGTTTGGCAATCCCATGGAGTATTCTTGGCCTCCTCCATTTTCAGCCCTGAGGCCTGCGTTCTTTTTCCCTATATTCACTTTCAGTGCCTTCTTCCTGAAGATCTGTTTGCAGTGTGCTTGTCTACTTGATGGCGTGCTCTCTCGGTGAGAGAAGCTTTTCTTGGCTTTGTCTAGTCCACCATCTTGGCTCTTCATCCAAATCATTTTTTCGAGGTTCCATTCTTTCCACACTGTTTTGTAATGCCACTTCTGTCATCATTTTCATGCATTCAAGGATCATTTTATTAGTTTCCTATTGTTGCCATAACAAACTTAGTAGCTTATAACAACACAAATTTATCTTACCATCCTGGAGGTCAGAAGTTTAAAACGGGTTTGCAGGGCTGCATTTCTTCCTGGGCTTCTAGGGGAGAATCTGTTCTTTGTCTTATCCGGCACATAGAAGCTGCATGCGTTCCTTGGCATGTGCCCCACTTCCAACAGTGGCATCACTCTGATGTCTACTCCTGTCTTTACATCTTCTTCTTTGACTTTGGCCTTCCTGCCTCTTTCTTTCTTTCTTTTCTTTTCTTTTTTATTTTTTGACAGAGTTTTGCTCTGTTGCCCAGGCTGGAGTGCAGTGGCATGATCTTGGCCCACTGCAACCTCCCCTTCTCAGATTCAAGCAATTCTCCTGCCTCAGCCTCCCAAGTAGCTGGGATTACAGGCATGCACCACTACACCTGGCTAGTTCTGTATTTTTGATAGAGATGGTGTTTTACCGTGTTAGCCAACCTAGTCTCGAACTCCTGACCTCAGGTGATCTGCCCACCTTGGCCTCCCAAAGTGCTGGGATTAGAAGCGTGAGCCACTGTGCCTGGCCACCTCTTTCTTTTAAGGACACTGTGATTATGTTGCACCCACTAGAATAATCTCCCAATCTCAAGATCTTCAATGAATCATTACTGTAAAGTCCTTCTTGCCCGGTATGGTAATGTATTCACAGGAGCCAGAGATTAAGATGTGAACATCTTAACGGGAGAGCACATTTTTCAGCCTATTCTAGTTGTCTTTCTGGACATTCCATTATTATTTTCTTGTATTTTTCATTTATTCATCCTAATCATACTCATTTTATAATCTCAATTGGATAGTTATACTATCCGAGTAACATTTTGGGACGTTTAATCCTGCTATTTCTTTTGTCTGCTCACTCAAGGTAAGATGTGTTTCCTCATGTGTTATATAATTTTAGATTATAAACTCATCATCTAGGGACTCTGTCTGTGGCAATCTCATATGGCCTTGGTTAAAGTCTTATTCAACCAGAAAGCTTTAGCCATGGCTTCTCCTAACTGTTTAGGAGTCTATTCACTGACCCAGCACCACTTCTCATGATACTTTTTTGGTTAAGAGTTTCTTGTATCATATAGTGGTATAATTTCAAACCCCTAGCATGTATGAAGGCAGACTACTGATAATATTAATAAATACACAGTGTAATCTTCCTCCATTCAGGGATTCACAGAAACAAAACTGGTTTGTTTTTTTTTTTTGCTTGTTTTCTACCTCTTTTAGTAACTGGATTTCATTCCTGGGTTATTCTTTTTTTTTTTTTTTTTTTTTTTTTTGAGATGGAGTTTCGCTCTTGTTACCAAGGCTGGAGTGCAATGGCGCGATCTCGGCTCACCGCAACCTCCGCCTCCTGGGTTCAGGCAATTCTCCTGCCTCAGCCTCCTGAGCAGCTGGGATTACAGGCAGGCGCCACCATGCCCAGCTACTTTTTTGTATTTTTAGTAGAGATGGGGTTTCACCATGTTGACCAGGATGGTCTCGATCTCTTGACCTCGTGATCCACCTGCCTCGGCCTCCCAAAGTGCTGGGATTACAGGCTTGAGCCACCGCGCCCGGCTTCCTTGGTTATTCTTTAACTGAGGTATAGCTCTTTAATAATCCAGATATTGTAAGAGAATATCTCCTTTTCTACTTCCTTCCTTGTTTGGATCTTAATGTCTCTCCTCTCTTTACGTGTGCATTAAAACTTAAGCACTTAGATTACCTCTGAGATAAGTACTCTCTCTATAGCTTCTGCTGCATTAACTCATGCTTACTGCTCTAGCTTTCAGTTCTCAGTTTAGTTTTGACTACTGGAGATTTTGCTTACATTTATTGTAAGTAAAATATCTAGGAGTTTTCCAGAGTTTTCCAGAGTCTTCTCTGGTTAATTCCTCTTTAACACTTCTCAGTGGTGATTTCTCTTGGGTGTGTCATACATACATTACCTCTTGAGGCTGTTTGTGTTCTTTGTACCTTAGGGAGGCAGAGCTGATTTGGGGGGGATAATTGGCTCTTGCTTAGGTATACTTTTGGTTTGGTCACAGTTCTGTCAGCATTGTATTATTATCAGTAGCACTTCTACTGTGTCAAGATACTTCTAATCTTATCTCAGATATATTTTGAATACTATGATAGAGAAAATAATACATTATCAAAATGTTTTTTTTTTCTGTAATACCAATTATGAAGTGTAAAATACTTAAAATCTTTTTACCTTAATTTTTATTACCCTAATTCTTATTTTCCTATTCTCTTCCTAGGATGTGTGCTGTGTTTGGTGGAATTTATTGTCTTCGCCATTCAGTACAGTGCCTTGTAGTGGACAAAGAATCCAGAAAGTAAGGATGATATAAGTAACCTTCATATATATATATATATATATATATATATATATATATTTATTTATACCCCAAACACAGGTGAAAAATGTTGAAGTCAATTTAAAAGAAAAGATTCTTCAAAGATCCTCCTTGCTATTAATAACATATCAACCTTGATTAAAAGCAATTTGTGTTTAGGTCCTCCAGAACATGAATAGTGAGTTCAGAATATAGAAACTAAATTAATTTCCCTGCAATATGCCTATAGCTCCTGGTCATCCAAGCTTGGAAGACAAATCATTTCAGCTGCCAGGGGGTGGGTGATGAGTGATGTTAGTTTTCCTTGTGGCCTTACCTCCTTTAATTGATTTTCATCAGATGACAACAAAGCCCTCTGTTATTGCATTTTTAAAAATGGAATTCACCTAAAGACTCATCAGATTAATCTCTGCTGATAATGCATGTCACTCCAAGAGAAAAGACTTTAATGAGTTTTTAGGTAGATTGTTGTCATAAACTATGCTGCCCTCTTATCTAAGGATAAATTCTTTTATAATAATATCAGGCCTATAGGCTGGTTTAGGATTGAAATAAGAATTTACCGATTCTTTAAAAGAGCTGAACACCATCTGTTTACTGTGTATTTTATATTTCAATTACATTTCCTTGTCTGAATTACGCTGGATAAAATATTCTGTGATTTCTGCGTTCTACACTGAAACTTAAATGGGTCAACTGGATCCACTTTTAGAAGCTATCTAAATTGCTATGTGTTTTTATTTTCTGTTACATGTTCTCAAGCATGTACTGTCCTGTATTTCTTAGATGATTGTTTTTAGGGAATATATAGTTAAATGGTATTTTTGAGGTTATAAAACATTTTAATATTTGAACTGGAAGCTTAAACAATACAAATCTTAAGCTGTGTCTTTCATTTCACAAAAGTTTTCTATCATCTAAGTGGCATGAAATGTCTATTAACTTCTTATAGGCTAATTGTAGTGAGAGAAAGCTAGTGTTTTGAGGTATGGTGAAGAAAAACCTCAACTCTAGAAATATGTAATATTTAGTAAATTTACTTTAGAAGAGTAATTCTGTTGTATAAGATAACATTGATACATATTTTTAAAGGCTTGCAAAGTACTTTTAGTTCTTTTATAGAAAGATACTACAAAATGAAAAGTGATAGTTGGAGAGAAAAATTTATCCCTGGGGGCCCAGAATGTTAACATCTTGACTCTATGGAAGTTAAGGAATAGTTGTCTTCAGACTTCTGGAGTCATTTTTCTTTGTGCATTCACTTGGCTACAAGAGTATGTTCTTATTATGGAAAGCCAGATAATGAATTGCTTGTTTGGTGCTTATTTGCTTAGATTCTTTTACTCTTGGGGTCCCATTTCAGTCCCATGTGACATGAATAATTTGCATAGGTCATGTTTGTTTAAAAAAAAAGCAGATATGCTACTATAGTAACTGCATTTGTTGAACTAAAGGCTACCTTTTCCTTACCTTTGACTTCGTTTTTATGACATACTCTGAACAGAGGAGCTCTTTTTTATGATCTGGTGCAGATTCCAGTTGCAACAGATAGCTGAAGGCTGATGGTCTAGAGACCAATTGAATCTCTAGATTGGTGGTTTTCAAACTTTAATGTGCCTGAGAATTACCAGGTAAGCTTGTCAAAAACGCAAATTTCCATTCCTTACCATCAGAAAGTGAAATTGATTAGTAGGCTTAGGGTGAATGCAGTAATTTGCAGTTGTAAAGAATACCCCAAGTAAATCTAATATAGGAAATCCTTAGATGACACTGAGAAACACTGATCTGTAAGGTAAAATTGAGGGTTTAGTGAAGGGTACTGTGTTCCATGATAAACTGGGGGCTCTAGGTCTTGTCAGTCTAAGGCCTTATCAATATGCATCTGTCAGATATACTGACAATCAAATTTGAATTTTATTTTATTATTTAGTTATTTTTATGAAACGGAGTCTCGCTCTGTCTCCCAGGCTGGAGTGCAGTGGCGTGATCTCAGCCCACTGCAACCTCACACTTCCAGGTTCAAGCAGTTCTCCTGCCCCACCTCCTGAGTAGCTGAGACTGCAGGCATGCCCCACCACACCCAGCTAATTTTTGTACTTTTAGTAGAGATGGGGTTTCACCATGTTGGTCAGCCTGGTTTTGAATTCTTGACCTTTTATTTGCTTGCCTCAGCCTCCCAAAGTGCTGGGATTACAGCAAATGTGAATTTTAAACAGCAGACAGACTGCTTCTAACTTAGTATTTTAAAACTATCTTCATAGAAAGACATTTCTTGTTTTGTAACTTCTAAGGTATGAGTAAAGGTTGGGTAGCCCTGGAATGAGAGGCGATTTGGATTTCCATTAGTGCCATGAATGACAGGGGCAAATCCTTTCCTCTGGACCAAATCCTTTATCTGAAAGATGAATGAAATGGACTCTGCAGTAATCTCTGGATCTCCTTCTAGATCTGACATGCTTTGGTTGAGTTATTTAATGTTCTCGGAAAGTACTTGGCTTTTCCTTAATATATAGAAATGAATTATCTTAAAATATTTCATATGCTCAAATGTAAGGCATTCTCACATAATGCATAATCTTCAGTCCCAGTGAAATATTTTAAAAAAATGTTGAACAACTTGTATGTGCCTTCTTGTATGAATATAACTTAAATAGCACAGAGTCTACTTGTGCTATTAATTATATTGTTATAGTACTAGAATCCCAGTTTTCTAGTGAACATCATCATCTTGTCCATCTTGTTTTTTTAGAATGCAACGATTTTGGATTCTGTATATAAATCTCTTCCTGGGAAATTTATTCTAAGCCATAACTATTTATTTCTTTAACTTGACAGTTTTTAAAACTTGACCTGAAATCATAATATTCCTGTCATCTACAATATTCACACTATACTGAATTGCTTAAGTGATATTTAAAAGATACAAGCAATACTTGAAAATTGTAAGTTTGTATTTATACCTTCAGTAATGATTACCATATTTATGTTAAATTTTTCCTCTTTAAAACAATCTGGCAAGTCAAATAGTCTCTGTGAATACCTAAAGCTAGCATTGACTGAAGTTGGCTCAGGTTCGTATATCTTTACCAAACACAACTTTGCCATTTAAAATCAAATATACAAAAGAGATAACCAGTAATAGGAGATATTTTGTTAGGATTTGAATATAAAGCAAAGGATAGTTTTTTTTTTTTTGGTGGGGGGAATCCTTGACCTTGTATTGGGTATAGCCAACATACATTTCTTTTTAAGGATTCGAGGCTGACTTAGACAATTGTTATATTCTAAGTATAATTAGTGTACTAAGTAAGGAATGTGTAAAGATTTTCATTTGTCTCCTTATGGTTATAGTTTGCCTTTCTTTTCCTAGTTTTCTATGTGGAACACTTGATATCCCCTCTCCTCTTTAGGGTAGTTAAGAACTACTCCTGCTTTGAGTCAAAGTTCTAAGTTTGTTCTGTGATCCCACGGACTACATCAGAACCCTCTGCCCGTCCTGACTGTCCATTGTCACATCACTTTTATGATCATTTCCTAAGTTCTCTATAAGAAAAGGCAGAATCTCACTGTTGTATCTCCAGAACCAAGGCAGGTTCCTAGTATTCATTATACTCAATAACTTCGAGTTAAATAAATGAATAAAGATTAAAGACTGACCATAGCTCTTTTCGTGCTTTGCTTTGTGCTGTCCATTTAGGAAAGGTGAGAGAGGCATAAGTGATCACAGTATTGAGTTTAATATGGCGATTATACATCCAAATACTGTTCAGACTTTGAGAGAAGAAATAGGGCATTGAGGAGACACATTAAATCATGGTATATGGAATATGTAACTGAATGTATACCTATTTTCACCTAGATTTTATTTTTCATTTTTGTTTGCTTGGTTCTGCTTTCTTAATTTGAGAGGGCGTAGGTATGTATCAGCGGTTCTTTTCTGAACCTTTTCACTAAATTCTCATACTGCACGTTTCCATTGACTCTTTTTGGAAACACTGAATGTTCTAGTTAAACAGTTTTCTTTTCCTTTGCAGCTATGTTGACCAGGCAAAACTCCTGTAAATTAGATCTGGCCAGTTAGTAGTATAGTATTTGATATTTCGGTAAAGTGCAGATGACCTTGGACCAGAAACATCTATAACCAATATTTGTAATCTAATTACTTCAGCTACTGGTCCCTGTGTACTTCAGCTGTCTTGCCAGCTTTCCTTCGATGGCTCTTTCTTGATGTCAGGTGTATGTTTTTCTGATTGCAGGAATATATATTTTCTGATGTCAGATATATTTTTCTGATGTCTATGTGTTTTCTGGATACTTGGAAGTTAGTAATGAATAGAATGTTAGACCAAGTTTGAGGTAATTGACTCAATACCCTTTGTCATTGCTGAAGCATTGATTTTAACGTGGCCTGCTTGCAAAATGATAGTGATCATATTCTGGATATTTAACATCTGCCAAACCCCATGCTAGTTGCTGTGGGGATAAAGAAATGAATAAAAACATGGACCCTGTCCTTGTATACAGGGAGACTTCAGTAAAGAGTACAGCTCTAAAGTCAGATAGATTGGATTTGAATCCTGACTTTGTCACTAACTGTGTGTACCTGAGCAAGTTATTTAACTCTCTATGACCCAGTTTCTTTATCTAGAAATTTGGACAATTGACTACACCTACCTCATAGGGTTATTATAATTATTAACGAAATAGATAAATGTTGTAGAACCATTTGTTACACATTGTAAGAGCTAACTGTTAGCTAACAGTAACTATTAATATAATCGGAAACTTTGGAATCCAGTGGTGGGAGAGACCTATTGCGAAGATTCTTCTGTGCTATGCTAAGGAATTTGGACTCTAATGAGAGGTAGTAACGGAAAGCAGCAAGATTAGATTTGCTACTTTTGTGTTGTAATTCTGGCCATGATTTGGAAGAAGCACTGTGATGGAAAGTGATTCTTTACCTCCTAAATCAGAGATTCTGTATCTTTTTTTCCACTCTCTCTACACTATTCACATGTACAGTATACTTCATTATCCATCCATCCACCTATCAGTGCAACAATTATTATTTGTTTTCTTCATAACAGGCACTGGCAATACAGCAGAGAAAAAGAGAATTAGGGTCTCTGTTCTCATGGAACTTACAGTCTACTGGGGGACATTACAGAACAACTAAATTAATAAGATAATTGTACATTGAGATCTGTTCAGTATGTAGATCTGGCTCCATCCTTATTTCAGAAGCCTCCCTGCCTTTATATAATCTCAGAATAAAGTCTAAGACCTTTCTATATGACACATGATGGGTGAGACTCTGTAATCTGGCCTCCGTCTGCTTGTCTAGGCTCATCTCTCTTTCCTACTTACTTTTCATGTTATTGTCACATAATACTGAACTGTTCATGGATCTCTGTACCTGTTCTTCTCTTACATGTCTTTGTAACCCTGCAGATTCTGCCCTTCTACCTGAGATATCCGTATCCTTATTTGCTTGCTTAACTGTATTTTATCCTATAAAAGCAACAACTGTGTCACTTCCTCCAAAGAGCATTCCCTTATACTCCACCCCTCGACCATGAGATGAGTTAGGTGCCTCTTCTAGTAATCTCTAATTCCTTATGCTTATCTTTTATCATTGGACTTTGCTATTGTCTTAAAATTGTCTCTGTCTGAATCTTCAAAAATTATTTCTGTCTGAATCTTGTCCTTTAGGGCAAGACGTTTGTATTCTTACCTCTTAGAACAGTGCTTGGCACATGATTGTTATGCTATACATTTATGTTGAACAGATGAATTGCCAACTTGCTAGCAGTTCATTATCTTATTAGACATTATAAGAGTCTAAGGCAGTATCAGTGGAGATGGAGAGAAGAGGCTAATTTCAGAAAGTACTTATAAGGTGGAATCAAAATGTTATAGCAAACTAGATGTAAGAAGAGGGATTTGAGGCAGGAAAACTGCTGGTTATGCCATTACCTGATACAGGGATTCCAAGGGAGTCTGAGCAGATGAGGAGCATGATAAACTCAGTTTGTAGCATGCTGGTTTTAAGAAACACTTGTCTAATAATACTGTATTATTTCCTTGAGATATGGTAAGAGCAGGTATTCAGTTCCTCATGACACCCACAGATGGTAAAGATGGGTGGTGATAGATGTGTTAATTAATTTGTGGTAATCATTACACAGTGTATATGTATATTAGGTCGTTACAATATACACCTTGAATATATACAATTTTTATTTTTCCATTAAATATTTATTAAAAGGGAGCGTGGAGTCTATCCAGGAAGTAATGGATAATAGACAGTTACAAATATGGATACAGAGCTTAGCAGAAGTCAGAGCATAGAACTATAGATTTGAAGTTGTTTGCCTGTTAAAGGTGTTTAGAACTATTAGAGTGTTTTTTACCCAAGAAAAAAATGAGTGGGAAGCATGTGAGATGGTTTTATGGGTGAGGTGGCATTTGAACTAATGCATTTGAGAAAACTCAGAAGGACGTAGTAACTAGGGAAAATTATTTTGTTTTCTTCAGTGATTGAGCATCTTCTAATTTTCTTAGTTTGTACATTTTCCTTTAATTTATTCCATATGCGATTTTTGCTTTCTTTACCATAAAATTATTTGCTGTATTCATTGCGAAGATCTCAGAAATTGAATACTTGTTTTAGTGTTATTTTTCTCATCTAAGCCAAATTCCAGATATTGAGTTGCCATTCTATTATTTTCTTCCTATCATCATGTTGCTATCTATGCCCTTATGTCATTGCCAAGAACTGAATAACTCTTGTGATTTGTTGATTTAGAAAGCTTAGCTCTAGAAATGTTCTGTCTGGCTTCAGTGTTTTGTGTGATCAGCTTGGTCATTGTGTCCCTGTAACTGGGGACATCTGTCATGTTCCTCCTCAGGTACTATTTATGAGGCTCAGCAAGGCCCTCACTAAATATTACATGGTTTAATCTTCCCTGGCTTCCTCAGGTTTATGTGGGAGGGGTATTTTCATGTCTCTGGCAGCACTTTTTCATTTTGCTGCTTTCCGTTACTTAAATGTCATCTAATCTTTTATATGAATCTTTGCAATACAAAGACTAAATCTAGGTCCAAAGTAAATATTTTCTTTTTCATTGTTTTCCCAGTTAGGCTGAATGTATGACAGTAAGTTAAATGAGAAGAGAACAAATCTTCTCACTTGCTTAAACATGTCTTGATTTGAGCAGCTTTGCTTAGGCCTAGAGCCTTAGTGCTTCAGAGTGATAATGTCAGGTGAGTCATGTTATTATCATCTTCCAGACTGAGACTTGGGCATATGTGACCATCACCTCAATTTCTGCAGAAACAAATATTTTATCTGTACCAATAGTCCTTGACTTTTCTCCACCTACCACAACGTAGAAGATACAACAGTAGCAGTGGCATGGTTGACAGTGATTCTTTCCTGGGATTTGGGAGCTTATCAGAATCTCCAGGGGTACTTTATAATTTAAAAATGTCCCCCAGGTGTGATTCTGATTTGCTTCCTTCTCCTCCTCCCACTCTGACAATCACTGTTTCATTAGAAGCCTCAGCATAAGTAGACACATGTATTAGTATCTTCTCCTTGTATAGTTGAGCTCCCTAACTCCCACACTCCCATACTTCCCTTTTGAGTGATCCCCATTAGTTCTTTCCAATATCATAACTTGAAACAAATGTCTGCCTGTCAACTGAAGGTATAGCTACCACCAAAACAACCTTGTTTAAAAGCCTCCAAACCTGAGGGCCAGGTTTAATAATACAATTTAAATGGGAACCTTTTGCAAAGATTTACACTCAGGTCTGAGATTTGTATTAACACTGACCCTCACCCCCCAAGCTTTAACATTTTATGGTGAACACTTTCAAACTTATACTGATGTGGAAGGAATTTTGAGAGAACCCCTGTATATCCACTTCCTGGGTTCTGCAATTAACATTTTAAGAAACTTGTTTAGTCACATAGCTACCCAAATATTAATCCTTCTATCCATGTATCGACTCATCTTTTTAATACATTCGACTGTAAATTGCAGATGTCAGTAAAAGTCTCCCTAAATATTTCAGCATGCATATCGTTAACTGGAGCTCAAATTTGTTTAGTGTTTTTCTTTTGTTGTAAAATTTACATAAAGTGAAGTGCCCAAATCTTAAGTGCTCCTAAAGTGAGTTTTAGTAAATGATAAATCTGTATAATCTAAACTCTATCAAGATACAGAAATTTAACACCCACTGTTTTCTGCCCAATTATTTCCTCTTGTCTTCATATAGTCTCTGAATTAAAGGTAAGAAAAAGGCTTGTCAGTGTTTACAGGACAAATAGAGATTGATGTTTAATGGCAGACAGCAGATTTCTCTTCTCAATTGCCTTAAGTACTTTGTGTTTCAAATGGTATATAAGTGTTTTAAAATAGAAGACTGAGTGAATAACTTATATTTTCAGTTTTTAAAACACTATTTTGGATAATATCAGATGTAAGTACTTCAGATCTATTTTGTTAAGTATTTTATAAGGCAAGAGTTCTAGTTCAATAGAATGTGAGGAGGTATATATAGAAACAGAAGTGGAGAAGAGAAAGAAAGTGGAGATGAGATGGGAAAAATCATGTAAATATTAATATAATATAACAAATGTTATGGTTAAAATATCTATTATGTACATCACTAGACATCATAGTCTATCCTTACAACAGTGGGATGCCATTTGTTCAAATATATTAGCATATCATAATCCGCCTTTAGGAAATACAAATTGAATTCTTCTCACTATTGGTCTTGAGTGTTAATCATTTTATTTTTAATGCCTTTATTCCTGGAAGATATCACTTATATGGCTTATTTTTAGAGTGGCTGAACACATTTTAACTTATACCAGTATATTTTACAATATGCTTTTGAAATTAATTTGCTTACATATTATGAGGGGCAACACATAAGTTCATTTCTAATAAAATAATTCTGTTTCCCAAAGAAGAAGCTGTGACACAAATAAATTGATATTTCCATAATCAAAAGGTATAGCAAACACAGAGTCATTTGCATAGAGTTCCTGAAATATTGCATACTGGCATTGTCAGTGCTGGTAAGTCCATTTCAAGGATGTTGCCCTTAGTCCATTAGTTTGGATAATGAGCCCTATAAAGTACATTTATAACTTGTGGCACTGCAAGTAGATGGATTCCAATTTTCATCCTTTTATCTAGACACATTGAAAGAAGGTCAATGGAGGGTTCTATATGATTCATTGTCCCAACACATATCAGATGACAGAGACCTGCTAATGTCCGTGCATAAGTGTTTTCCTTATTTGGAAACAGCACTTGAAAGAAATCTTTCTATGATCATCCTTTGAAGTGGAAACAGGTATTAAAAGAAGATTTATCCCGTTTTTCTCTTTCAAACATTACCAAACACATGACCATATAGCTATTCTTGGACAAAAAAGAAACCAACATTTAACAGAAAAATAAAAAGCCTGTAAAAGGCCTTTATAAGCTGTGAATGATATAACAAGGTATTTAATCAATTTTTGTCTCCTTTTCTTAGAGCTGCTAAGGAGAAAAATATATACAAGCCTGTTTTCTAAACAAAGGAAATGCTTCTGTGTTCCTAAACATTAGGAAATATATGATTTACTATAATTCTTATCCTGACTTTATTCTTATTAATGGCATTCAAAGTACATGTTTAAGATGCATTCCAGGTTTATTTTGTACTTTAAAAGACCTCAAAATGGCAACAAGAATATATATTCTGTCATTTAGTGTCAGTTTTGCATCAGAAAATGTGGAATTATAGGCAAGTTTTAAGTGTTGTCTTTATGAGAAATAGGTTTTAGATTCAAAATTGGTAGCTAATTGTGTTTTCTCCATTATTTAATTATTAATATGAACTTTTGTGGTATACTTATCTTCTTTGTAGATGTAAAGCAATTATAGATCAGTTTGGTCAGAGAATAATCTCTAAGCATTTCCTCGTGGAGGACAGTTACTTTTCTGAGAACACATGCTCACGTGTGCAATACAGGTAAGGCCCCCTCCACCCACTAGCAAGGGAAGGTAATTTTATTGACATTTCTGTATGATTCTGTTCTTCAGGTAACATGCAAATAAATGCCAAACCAAAGATATATTCAATATCTTACTTCACTTACAGGGTCTGGTTTTAAAGGGGTCTAGCATAATTTCAACTCCTTTGCTTCAGCTGGGGTTTGTCTGTAGGTCAGGCATTCTTCTTTCATGAGCCAAGAAAAGATTAAAGCCAAACTTGACTTGGTTTTGGGAGGTTACACTTTTATCCTGACTTAAATCTTTGAAACATGCCTTCTGGTGGTTATATAACTATAAATGAAACTTAGCCGTGGAATCAGAATTACTGCTTGACTGTTTTGTGCATTACAGGCAGATCTCCAGGGCAGTGCTGATCACAGATAGATCTGTCCTAAAAACAGATTCAGATCAACAGGTAAATTCAGTCCTATATATTTTTAATAAAAGGTATATATATGAAGATGTACAACATAATGTTTTGCCATACATATACGTGGTGAACTAATCACTACAATTAAGTTAATTAACATATCTATCTCTTTCCATAGTTTTCTTTTTTATGGTGAGAACACTTAAGATTTACTTTCAGCAAATTTTCAACATACAACACCATATTATTAACTGTAGTCTTCCGCTGTACATTCGATCTCTAAAACTTATTCTTTTTGTATAACTGAAAGATTGTACCCTTTGACCAACATCTCCCCATTTTGCCTAGCCCCTGGCAAGCACCGTTTTACTCTCTGCTTCTATGAATTTGAATTTTTTGCATTTCACATGTAAGAGCAATCATGCAGTATTTTCCTTTCTGTGTCTGGCTTATTTCATTTAGTGTAATGTCCTCCAGGTTCATCTGTGTTGTTGCAAATGGTAGGACTTTATTCTTTTTTAAATATTGAATAATATTCCATTGTGTACACGTACACACAGACCCCATTTTTACAAAAACCATTATTCCACTGACGGAGACTTAGGTTGTTTCCAAGTCTTGGCTTCAACGAATAATGCTGCATTGAATATGGGAGTGCAGACATTTCTTTGAGATACTGTAGGATATATACCCACAATCTGGATTGGTGGATTATATGATAATTATATTTTTAACGTTTTTGTGGAACCTCCATAATGTTTTCCCTAATGCTTGTAAAGATTTACATTTCAACAAGTAGTGTACAAGGTCTGCTTTTTTCTACATCCTCATCAACACTTGTTATCTCTTGTCTTACTGATAGTAGCCATCGTAACAGAGGTGAAATGATACCTCATTGAGTCTTATGCTTTCTAATAACATTGTTACTAATTTAATCTACATGGTAATTTGTATAAATCAATATTGGCAAAATTAAATGTATTAAGCTATATTACTAAAATTTGTGTATCCTTTCTCTGAAATGCTTGGGGCAAGAAGTGCTTGGATTTTAGATTTTGGGGGGGTTTTAGAGCATTTTGGATTTCAGATTTTTGGATTAGGGATACTCAACTTGTAGTTATTAAATGTGTTTTTAAAAAATACATGATGGCAATAATGTAATGGCATTGGTTTCCTAAGGATTTCCATCCACTGGAACAGATAGTTGCATCTTATATAACAGATTTATTTTAGGAAAATTGATGTAAATACTAGAGTTTGAAAATTATTTCTGTGAAACTGAAAATATATTGTTATGGGGAGAAAAAGAGAATCCCCAGAGAATACATTTAAAAATCTGGGAGAAAAAGAGAGTAATCAACCCTATGGCAGTGATTGTAAGTCCACTGTTAGGCCTGGTGTGAATGATTTCCACACACATTCCCAGTTATGGTATTTCCTTACCACCATCATTCATTTCAGTACCCTCTTCTTCCTCCTTATCCCCAGTTCCATAGGAATGTCATTATGCCTCTGGTTTTTACTCAGACCTCTTAAATTTCAGAGTACCCAATTCTTCTTCTAACCATATTTTATAGTGACTGATGAAATCAGCTTACTCAGTGGGTGCGACTGTTGGTTCTGTATGCCACTGCTAAAAGTAGGCTCCTAAAGTTCCTTAAGTTGAAAGCTTTTTCTTATATAAAAGAAGTATGTGAGTGGATAAAGCCAATTCATTGTCCCAGTTTTTGTTGCTAATAAATCAACATTATATACAAAAAAGCCCCCCAAATATACTTATAATATGTGTAATATGAATACTTTCGTTAAGCCATTCAGCAAACAATGATTGCTTTTTACCTTCCAGCCAGTGTTGCTGCGTTCTAAGGAGCTAGTGGTGACTATGATAGCGTCTCTGCCCTCAAATAGCTTACATTCTGGAGGATACAGATACTGATAAGTAGCAACTATAGTTCTGTGTGACAAGTGTGAGCATGAGTGTGTAGAAGAAATAGTACAGCCGCTATTATATTACTTACTCCACTGTCCTACAATTACTGGTTTACTTGTCTGTATTTCCCAGTAAGCTATGTGGTTTGTGAGTGGATCAAAGAGTGCCAGGGAGGCAGAAGAGTAAAGAGAACAAATAGAGATAACTCTTGGGGGAAACTAAGCTGTGAAGAATAAGAGGGAGGAACTGTTCTTTGAAGAGAGATGTGGAGAAGAGGGCTTTTCTTTACTTTAAAAGATTAGTATATATTTCAGCTCATGGAATGAAGCCAATAGAGAGGGAGAGGTTGAAGACACCGAAGTAAGAAGGAGGATAATTGATGGATCAAGGTCCGGGCAAAGGTTGGAGAGGCTAAAATTCAGAGAACAAAAACGTTGCCCTTGAATGGGATGGGAGACACGTTGAAACCAGAGGGTGAATGCATTTCTAGATTTAAGAATTCCCATCTTACGGGTTAACATTTATTCTTTAAATTATAAACAAGGTGAAGTCATCTTTTGAGAATGGGGGTGTGCAAATGTGTATGGGTAGAAGGAAAGATATAAAATAATCACTGTAGGAGTTGCAGAGTGTACTGTCTCATGTTCAAATTGCTGGGCAGTGTTAATGGCCCAGTTGAGTCTGAAGGTCATGGATCTATAGTGGCATTAATCTGCTCCTATCCTTTCAGCTCTTTCATTCTCTTACCTCTACCCAGTCTGTTAAGAGATGTACAATTCCTCAGTCCCTCTGTTTCTTTTCAGTTTATCATTTCCGTTCTGCCCTTTTCTTTTTCCCTGCACTAGACCCCGTAGTAGATCTTCTGAATTGCTCTTTGTCTGACACTCTCAGTACCCATGTTGTCATGTCCTTCTACTATACCCACAGAGGAAGATCCCATCCCTGAGTGAGGCTATGATCTCCACCTGGATCACTGGTGGCTGCTTAAGAAAACCACACATCCAGACAGACTAACCCTGCCAAAGAGACAAGGGTGCCAGCGGATTCAGCTGGACCTTCAACACAGATCACCAGTCAGTTCTTCCGCTGGCCTCAGACAGCTCTCTTTCCCTTTTCCCTCAGTGCCTAATCCAAGTCTTGATGATTTTACCCACCCTTCTTATCCCCTGCTCCTCTCACTCCCTTTACCCCCAACAACCTTGCTTCACTGAAAATAGTTAGGCCGTCCAACATGCACAGTAGCCCTTGAATTCCTGCCCCACCACCATGTGTGTACTCCAGCCCAGGAATGAATCAGAAGGCTCCCTTCCTTGTTCAAAGCCAGCCACTTTGACAAGTGCCCTTGACGCGCGCACGCACACACACACACACACACACACACACTCACACACACACTCCCCACCACCCACCCTTTATTGTCTGCTCTCTCTCCTGTATCTTCAGCTTCTCCCCACTGCTGACACCTTTTTTTTTGCAGACACAGACACACACACACAAACACACAAGCATTTTCTCTTTTGTATGTACTAGTGCATATATGTATACATACTAGCATTTTCTGTTCTAAAAATATAAACTGAAAGGAACCACTCCCTTGATTCTGCCCTCATCTCTAGCTGTCTTCCCTCTTTTTGTCAGCATTTCAAGACAGTGTCTATACTTGCTACCACCAGCTCCTTACCTCCCATTCATTTAACACTCCAACCTGGCTTCTACCCTCCTATTTCTACCACATTTTTTCTTGCTAAATTTATTAATAACTTTACAAAAGTCAAGGCTAGGGGATATTTTTTGGTTTTCGTCTACTGGGACTTTCCTGGTACATTTGACAATGTTATTATTTCCTTGCTCTTGAAAGTCTGTACTTTTGGCTTCCATGAAAATGTGCTCTTGTGGTTCTCCTCATGACTCTGGCTGTTGTCTCTCTTCTTTCTTAGTGGGCTCTTGTTCCTTTACCCAGTCCTTAAATATCAGGGCTCCTCAGTGTTCTTCCCTCAACCCACAGTATGCCTTGCTCTGGGCATACTCACTAACGACTCTGTTTTATCTCATGATTTCAGTTCTGCATAGATCTTGGTGACAGCCAATTCTGTATCTCCCAGGAGTGTCTGGCCCACATGCTAAGCTTCCTGCTAGACATCTGTCAAATGGAACATACTCAAAACTGAACTCACCATCATCCCTCCTCAAACTGCTCCTCATCCAGTGTTTCCTTCTTCTGGGAATAGTTCTGACATCATTTCAGCGGCAACTTCTTTTTCGCCTCTCTGACATCTCATCAGCCTCACATCCTTCAGTGTACTTCCTAAAAGTTGCTTTGATCTGCCTTTTCTCATTGTTCCAGTTATGGGACTCATCACCTCTGACTTGTAACTGGTCACACTGTCTCTCATCTAGTCTACTTCAACTCTGCCTTCTACATTTCCTTCAGAGTGATCAGTCTAAAGTATGTGTCCTGCTTGCCTTTCTTTGTTTCCCTGTAGGGAGTTTTCTTTTATCTTCTCTCTCTCTCTCTCTCTCTCTTTTTTTTTTTTTTTTGAGTTGTGCAGCATAGATAGAATGATGAGACCTGGAAGAATAGGTGTGTGTGCGGGTAAATTTTATAGAAGTGGTATTAGAGGGTTAAAGGAATTCTTTTTTGATGATTTTTATCATTTCCATGAGGTTTAAGACCGTTAACTTCTGGAGGTACTGTAGTAGGAGGTTACTAATTGTATCTCAATAAAAATAAAAAGGTTATAGTTGTAGAAATCAAAAGAAGTCTCGCATGTTAGTGCAGTCATTATGATACTTTTCTAGTTATGGTCATGTTTTTAGTTGTACTTATTTAACTATTGTTCAGCATTCAATGTCTTAGTGGCTTCTATCTTTTTAATGCCATAGTATATTTTCTATCATGAACAAAGGGAGTTGAGAGGAACATGGAGAAGTACGTTTTTTCAGACATTTTGAGGCCAGAAATATACATAAATGTAGGATAGTCATGGTTATCAAAATAATTTCTCATTTAAAATTTGTTTTAGGTGTTTCCTCTTTGGGCCATCACTCTGACATTCTCAGTCAAAATGTAGCATAGCACTTATAAGGGCAAAGTGCAAATGGCCTTTTTTGACAAGTATTTTCTATGTGAGAGGATAAAATTTCCTCACAATGAAGATTAGATTGAGGATTAGTATTGAACCTTTAGGCTCTACAAAGAAACATTGAACTGGGTCAGGCTCAGTGGCTCACGCTGGCAATCCCAATACTTTGGGAAGCCAAGGTGGGTGGATTGCTTGAGGTCAGGAGTGTGAGATCAGCCTGACCAACATGGCAAAACCCCACCCCTACAAAAAATACAAATGAAATAGCCAGGTGTGGTAATGCATGCCTATAAGCCCAGCTACTTGTGAGGCTGAGGCACGAGAATCACTTGAACCCGGGAGGCGGGGGTTGCAGTGAACTTACTTTGTGCCACTGTATACTAGGCTGGGTGACAGAGTGAGACTCTTCCTCAAAAATAAAAAGAAACATTGACCTGAAGATCATTTCAAGTTTTTGAGTATAAAGCCATCTAGCATATCATTAATGCCTAAGGTAGCATGCTACATATCAATAAATAGTACTTAACAGTTTTACATTGTACTTTTGATTCTGCATTTCTAGTTTTATTAAGGGAGTCTTTAAAAATTATTTGTTTTCAAATGTTTTGACATATATTTACTTTGACTGCTTGTTTCAATAAGATTGGGATGGGTAATCTTTAACTATTAGTGCTAACTGCTGTTATTAGCCATTATGAGTAATCAAGATTGATTTAATATGGTCTGATTTCAAACAGCAAAGTATGTCTATTTCAGAACTAAGAAGTCATCGTGCTATCCTTTGAAAATACAGGTTGTGTACCCTTATCTGAAATGCTTTAGACCAGAAGTGTTTGGGTTTCAGATTTTTTCAGATTTTGGAGTATATCAGTTGAGTGTCCCTAATCTGAAAATCTAAAATCCAACATGCTCCAATGAGCATTTTCTTAGAGCATTATGTGAGCACTAAGTTTTGGATTTTGGAGTATTTTGGAATTTAGATAATGGTTACTCAACCTATAGTAAGTTTATAGTAAGAAACCTAGAGAAAGTTAATAAGGATTTAATAAATATTAAAGATATTTAAATAGTTATTATCTATGAGAATTATCAACATGATACATACATATGTTTCATATTCTGTTCCCAAATTAAATCCTGACAAGCCATATTTTTTTAAGACATCGAGGTGTTTGAAAAGATACTCAGTTTAGAAGTTAACAGTATTTTAATGTTAGAAGAATGAAAATGAAATCTAACAACTGTGTCTGATACTTTATTTTTGCTTTGTAGATTTCCATTTTGACAGTGCCAGCAGAGGAACCAGGAACTTTTGCTGTTCGGGTCATTGAGTTATGTTCTTCAACGATGACATGCATGAAAGGCACCTGTAAGCATAGTAGAATGGTTGTTTGTATTTTTTGTTTGTTTACGAAGGAAAGAGGGGGCAGCTGTTACAGTTGTCAAGGTTGTATCTATAGAGATTTTTCTCACTTTTTTATTATTCAGAGTATTTGCTTATATAAAATACGGTTATAGAGTAAGTCATTTCATACCTTTCCCTTACCTATAAACATTTCAGTGCCTAAATCTTCACAGGCATAATTTTTTAGTTCTCCAGTGAGGAATTTTATGACTTTCAATTATTTCTAATTTTTCTTTAGCTTATTGGAAATCTGTTTGCATTACACTTTTTTTAATTGCTAATTTTTTTTTTTTACTTTCTGTCTTAGTCTATTTGTGCTGCTATGACAAAATACCTTAGACTGTGTGACTTATAAAGAACAGAAATTTATTGCTTACAAAATACCTTAGACTATGTGACTTATAAAGAAAAGAAATTTATTGCTCACGATTCTGGAGGCCAGAAAGTCCACAATTAAGGTGCCAGCAGATTCAGTGTCTGATGTGGACCTGTTCCTCATGAGTGGCACCTCCTTTGTGTCCTCATATAGGGGATAGGGATAAAAAAGCTTCCTTGGACCTCTTTTGTAAGAGCACTCATCCCATTTATGAGGGCAGAGCTCTCATGACCTAACCATATTCCAAAGACTCTACCTCTTAATACTTTTGCATTGTGGGCCTACTTGAAGTATTAAGAGGTAATACTTTTGCACTGCATATGTCAACATATGAATTGTGAGGAGACACAAACATTCAAACCATAGCACCTTGAATTCTAAATTCTGAATCCAATTACTGAACTTTCTTCATGTATAAATTTTCAATTTATTTTGTTTATTTATGAGACTAAAGTTAAGGACTGCTTTATCTGCTCTTTCACTTATATGTTTCAAAACGTTTGCTTACAGCAGCACTTGCATTCTACAACATATTTCTTGAGGATATTTCAGTAAATAGGAGTCAACAAGTATACATTATACATCACTGTGCCTAGACCTAAGCTATGTACTATAAGTATTCGAAGCAGAAGCTGAGATATCTGATTTGAAATGTTCATGATATTATTGCTCACCTAATGGAACAAGACAATGTATTTATTAACCGAGTACAATATATTGTGCTAGGCACTTTATGGTAGGTAAAGATGCATAAGATACCCCTGACCGTAGGGGTTTCGCAGTCTAGTTGAACAGATAAAACAAACATAGAAGTAGCTGGAAGGGGCAAAATATGAGAAGTATCAACAAACAGTGTACTCTAGGGATTCATAGGAGGGAGACATAATATCATTAACTAGAAAAACATTTTTTGATTAGTCTGACTAAACTTAAGTGTTAGTCAGACTGTTATGTGAGTTCTGAGAAGCAAAAAGACTAATCTGGTTTTGCGTAGTCACAAGGAAAACTTCAATGGGGAAATGTAGAGCTACTACTTAAAATTGGGAACATAATTAGGCAGAAAATAGTGGGAAGTCTGATGCCAGCAGAGAGCATTAAGAAAACTTTTCGACATTGCTATAATCCTAAATTTCCTTTGGACAAGTAGCTTAGAGGACCATTTCTCCTTTTATAGTGTACTAGTCCGTTTTCATGCTGCTGATAAAGACGTAACCTGAAATTGGGAAGAAAAAGAGGTTTAATTGCAATCACAGTTCCACATGACTAGGGAGGTCTCAGAATCATGGCAGGAGGCAAAAGGCACTTTTTACATGGCGGTGGCAAGAAAAAAATGAAGAAGCAAAAGCAGAAACCCCTGACAAACCCATCAGATACTGTAAGACTTATTCACTATCACGAGAATAGCATGGGAAGGACCAGCCCTCATGATTCAGTTACCTCCCCCTGGATCTCTTCCACAACACGTGGGAATTCTGTGAGATACAAGTCAAGTTGAGATATCAGTGGGGACACAGCCAAACCATATTATTCCACCCCCAGCCCATCCAAATATCATGTTCTCAACATTTCCAAAGCAATCATGCCTTCTGACAGTTTTCCAAATTCTTATTTCAGCATTAACCCAAAAGTCCACAGTCCAAAGTCTCATCTGAGACAAGGCAAGTCCCTTCTGCCTATGAGCCTGTACAATCAAAAGCAAGTCAGTTACTTCCAAGAAACAATAAGGGTCCAGGTATTAGGTAAATAAAACCATTCCAAATGGGAGAACTTGGCCAAAACAAAGAGTTTTCAGGCCCCATCCAAGTCTGAAATCCAGTGGTGCAATCAAATTTTAAAGGTCCAGATGATCTTCTTTGACTCCAGGTCTGACTAATGCAAGAGATGAGTTCCCATGTCTTGGGCAGCTCCACCCTTGTGGCTTTGCAGGGTTCAGCCTCCATCTCAGCTGCTTTCACAAGCTGGCATTGACCGTCTCTGGCTTTTCCAGGTGCACGGTGCAACCTGTTGGTGGATCTATCATTCTGAGGTCTAGAGAATGTAGAGAATGGTGGTCCTCTTCTCATAGCTGCACTAGACAGTACCCCAGTAGGGACTCTGTAGGGGGGACTCTAACCCCACATTTCCCTTCTGCATGCCCTTGCAGAGATTCTTCAGGAGGGCCCCACTCCTGCAGCAACCTTTTGCCTGGGCATCCAAACGTTTCCATACATCTTCTGAAATCTAGGTAGAGGTTCCCAAACTCGAGTTCTTGATTTCTGTGCACCCACAGGGTCAACACCATGTGGAAACTGCGAAGGGTTGGGGCTTGCACTCTCTGAAGCCACAGCCCAAGCTCCACATTGGGCCCTTTCAGCCACTGCTGGAGCGACTGGGACACAGGACACCAGGTCCCTAGGCTGCACACAACATGGTGGTGCCTGGCCTGTGAAAGCCCTTTTTCCTCCTTGTCCTCCAGTCCTGTGGTAAGAGAGGCTGCCGTGAAGATCTCTGACATGTTCTGGAGACATTTACCCCAATAGTCTTAGTGATTAACATTAGGTTCCTTGCTACTTATGCAAATTTCTGCAATAGGCTTGAATTTTTCCTCGAAAAACGGGTTTTTCTTTACCATTGCATCATCAGGCTACACATTTTCTGAACTTTTATGCTCTGTTTCCCTTTTAAAATGGAATGCTTGTAACAGCACCCAAGTCATCTTCTGAATGCTTTGCTGCTTAGAAATTTCTTCCACCAGATACCTTAAATCATTTCGCTCAGGTTCAAAGTTCTACAAATTTGTAGGGCAGGGATAAAATGCTGCCAGTCTCTTTGCTAAAACATAGCAAGAGTCACCTGTGCTCCATTTCCCAACAAGTTCCTCACCTACATCTGAGACCACCTCAGCCTGGACCTTACTGTTATATCACTATCAGCATTTTTGTCAAAACCAATCGACAAGTCTCTAGGAGGTTCCAAACTTTCCCACATTTTCCTGTCTTCTTCTGAGCACTCCAAACTATTCCAACTTTACCTGTTACCCAGTTCCAAAGTTGCTTTCACATTTTTGGGTATCTTTTCAGCAATGCCTCATTCTTCTGGGACCAATTTACTGTATTGGTCTGTTTTCCATGCTGCTGGTAAAGACATACCTGAAACTGGAAAGAAAAAGAGGTTTAATTGGACTTATAGTTCCATAGGCTGAGGATGCCTCAGAGTCATGGCAGGAGGTGAAAGGCAGCAGCAAGAGAAAAATGAGGAAGAAACAAAAGCAGAAACCACTCATAAACCCATTAGATCTCGTGAGACTTACTCACTATCATGAGAATAGCATGGAAAGACGGGTCCCCATGATTAAATTACCTTCCCCTGGGTCCTTCCCACAACACGTGGGAATTCTGAGAGAGATAATTGAAGTTGAGATTTGGCTGGGGCCACAGCTAAACCGTATCATATAGTGATTTGTGCCACAGGAAAATCTTTACCATGACAGTTGGTGTTATTGTCTACTATTATTACCTTAACTATTTTTTCATGTAATTTTATCTGTTTTAGCTTCTTAGATATAAAATAAAACTGAACCTATTATGGTTTTTGCTATTTGTATTTGCTTTATGTTTGTGAGTATTCTTTTTCTTTTTATTTTTTCCCCCCCTCCTTTTCCATTTTTAGTTTAGATTCAGGGACTGTACAGATTTGTTACAAGGATATATTGCATGATGCTGAGGTTTGGTCTTCTATTTATCCTGTCACTCAGATAGTGAACATAGTACCCAAAAGGAAAGCTTTTCAGCTATGTCCTCACTCCATCCCTCCTTTTGGAATATCCAGTGTCTATTGTTCCCATCTTTATGTCCATATATACCCAAGATTTGGCTCCCACTTATTAAGTGAGATCATGTGATATTTGGATTTCTATTTCTGTGTTAATTCAGTTAGGATAATGGCCTCTAGCTACATCCATGTTGCTCCAAATGACATGATTTTCTTCATTTTTATGGCTGCATAGTATCCCATGCTATATATGTACCACATTTTTTTATTCCAGTCTGATGTTGATGGGCACCTAGATTGGTTCCATGTCTTTGCTATCAAGAATAGTGCTGCGATGAACATGGAATTGTTTTGTTTGTTTGTTTGTTTGTTTGTTTGTTTGTTTGTTTTGGTAGAATGAGTCATTTTCATTTGGTTATATACCCAGTAATAGGATTGCTTGGTTGAAGGATAGCTCTGTTCTAAGTTTTTACAGAAATCTCCCAACTGCTTTCCACAGTTACTGAACACATTGCAGCCAACAATATATGAGCATTTCCTTTTCTTTGCAGCCTTTACAGCATCTGTTATTTTTTGAATTTTTAGTAATAGCCATTCTGACTGGGGTGAGATGGTGTCTGTGGTTTGATTTGCATTTCTCTGATTAGTGATGTTGACACTTTATCCTATGTTTGTTGACTACTTATATGTCTTCTTCTGAAAAACATCTGTTCAAATCCTTTGCCTGTTTTTTTAGTGGGATTGTTTTATTCTTGTTGATTTTTAGGTTTTTTTAATAGATTATGGATATTAGTTATTTATTGGATGCAGAGTTTGTGAATATTTTCTCCCATTCTGT